GAAAACACTTTTTCTTATTATTTTGGTGCGTAGAATCCAAAACAATTCGTACTTTTTCGATCAGACTTCTCAATCAAAAGTTATAGACTAGAAACCAATTTCGAAAAAAAATTCAAAGGGCTGCAACTTTTGAACTAGTAGCCCAATCTTGGAACTGTTTGAAATTATGGATTCTACAGGCCACATTCTATAAGAAAATTTTTATTCCGGGTCGATCTGAGAATTTTTTTTTTGGGGTTTCCAAAAAAGGCAGTGTATAACCTTCCTTTTTTACCAAAATCGACTACACCAAAATTTCTCGGGATAACACTTTTTCTTATTAATTTGGGTGCGTAGAATCCAAATCAATTCGTACTTTTTCGATCAGACTTCTCAATCAAAAGTTATAGACTAGAAACCAATTTCGAAAAGAAATTCAAAGGGCTGTAACTTTTGAACTAGTAGCCCAATCTTGGAACTGTTTGAAATTATGGATTCTACAGGCCACATTTTATAAGAAATTTTTTTTCCGGGGCGATCTGAGACAATTTTTTTTTCGGGGCTCAAAAAAAGCAGTTATTACCCTCCTTTTTTACCAAAAATCGACTGCACCAAAATTTCTCGGGAAAACACTTCTTCTGATTAATTTTGGTGCGTAGAATCCAAAACAACTCGTACTTTTTCGATCAGACTTCTCAATCAAAGGTTATAGACTAGAAACCAATTTCGAAAAGAAATTCAAAGGGCTGTAACTTTTGAACTAGTAGCCCAATCTTGGAACTGTTTGAAATTATGGATTCTACAGGCCACATTCCATAAGAAAATTTTTTTCCGGGTCAATCTGAGACAATTTTTTTTTCGGGGCCCAAAAAAAGGCAGTGTATAACCTTCCTTTTTTACCAAAAATCGACTACACCAAAATTTCTCGGGAAAACACTTTCTTTTTTAATTTTGGTGCGTAGAGTCCAAAACAATTCGTACTTTTTCGATCAGACTTCTCAATCAAAAGTTATAAACTAGAAACCAATTCGAAAGAAAATTCAAAGGGCTGTAACTTTTGAACTAGTAGCCCAATCTTGGAACTGTTTGAAATTATGGATTCTTCAGGCCACATTCTATAAGAAAATTTTTTTCCGGGTCGATCTGAGACAATTTTTTTTCGGGTCTCAAAAAAAAGGCAGTGTATAACCTCTTTTTTACCAAAAATCGACTGTACCAAAATTTCTCGGGAAACACTTTTTCTTTATTAATTTTGGTGCGTATAATCCAAAACAATTCGTACTTTTTCGATCAGACTTCTCAATCAAAAGTTATAGACTAGAACCCAATTTCGAAAAACAATTCAAAGGGCTGTAACTTTTGAACTAGTGGCCCAATCTTGGAACTGTTTGTAATTATGGATTCTACAGGCCACATTCTATAAGAAATTTTTTTTCCGGGTGGATCTGAGACAATTTTTTTTTCGGGGCTCAAAAAAATGCAGTGTATAACCTTCCTTTTTTACCAAAAATCGACTACACCAAAATTTCTCGGGAAACACTTTTTCTTATTAATTTGGGTGCGTAGAATCCAAATCAATTTGTACTTTTTCGATCAGACTTCTCAATCAAAAGTTATAGACTAGAAACCAATTTCGAAAGAAAATTCAAAGGGCTGTAACTTTTGAAACTAGTAGCCCAATCTTGGAACTGTTTGAATTATGGCATTCTACAGGCCACCATTCTATAAGAAAATTTTTTTCCGGGTCGATCTCAGACAAGTTTTTTTTCGGGGCTAAAAAAAGGCAGTGTATAACCTTCCTTTTTTACCAAAAATTCTTACTACACCAAAATTTCTCGGAAAACACTTTTTCTTATTAATTTTGGTGCGTAGAATCCAAAACAATTCGTACTTTTTCGATCAGACTTCTCAATCAAAAGTTATAGACTAGAAACCAATTTCGAAAGAAAATTCAAAGGGCTCTAACTTTTGAACTAGTAGCCCAATCTTGGAACTGTTTGAAATTATGGATTCTACAGGCCACATTCTATAAGAAAAATTTTTTTCCGGATCGATCTGAGACAATTTTTTCTTCGGTGCTCAAAAAAAGGCAGTGTATTACCTTCCTTTTTTACCAAAAATCGACTACACCACAATTTCTCGGAAAAACACTTTTTGTTATTAATTTGGGTGCGTAGAATCCAAATCAATTCTTACTTTTTCGATCAGACCTCTTAATCAAAAGTTATAGACTAGAAACCAATTTCGAAAAAAAATTCAAAGGGCTCTAACTTTTGAACTAGTAGCCCAATCTTGGAACTGTTTGAAATTAT